TATGTTTCCTTCGTCGAGGGGCGGCAGCGTGCTGCCCCTTGCTCCTCCCAGTTTCCTCTGACAGAGGCCCCGATGCAGACGCTTCACATGGACGTTTGGGGCCCAGCCCGTGTCCGTGGACAGGGTCACGAGCGCTACTTCCTGCTGGTGGTTGACGACTACTCGCGTTACACCACAGTCTTCCCCTTGCGCAGCAAGGGTGATGTCACTGAGGTGTTGATCGACTGGATCCGCGCAGCTCGTCTCCAGCTCAGGAAGAGTTTCGGCTCGGACTTTCCTGTTCTGCGTCTGCACTCTGACAGAGGCGGAGAGTTCTCCTCTGGCCTTCTGCGAGCCTACTGTCTTGCACGAGGCATCCGCCAGACCTTCACGCTTCCAGACTCTCCACAGCAAAATTGGATTGCTGAGCACCACATTGGCATGGTCATGGACGTCGCCCGTACGTCCATGGTGCATGCGGCTGCCCCCCATTTTCTGTGGCCGTTTGCAGTTCGGTACGCGGCGCATCAGATCAACCTTCAGCCCAGGGTCTCCATGCCGGAGACCTCCCCAGCTTTGCTGTGGACAGGGAAGGTTGGCGATGCGTGTGGGTTCCGTGTCTGGGGATCTCGGGCGTTTGTCCGCGACTTGTCTGCGGACAAGCTGTCCCCTCGTGCTGCTCCTTTCGTCTTCCTTGGCTTCCCCCCTGACGCGCCAGGGTGGCAGTTCTACCACCCCACCTCGCACCGTGTTATGTCCTCCCAAGACGTCACGTTTGACGAGTCGGTTCCCTACTACCGTCTCTTCCCCTACCGCACTCCGTCCCTCCCCTGCCACCACTCTTCCTTGCCCCAGGTCCCCCCCCATTAGACACCCTTCCCCCTCAGGGTCGTGCCCCCTCAAGTGTGTCCCAGGTAGACGCAGTCGCGCCTGTTGAGGTAGCTGTTGACTCTGGTGCTGCTGGGGGTGCTGAGCCTGGGGGTGCTGACTCTAGGGTTGCTGAGCCTGGGGTTGCTATGACTGGGGGTGCAGAGCCTGAGGTGCGGAGCCTGAGGGTGCTGGGCCTACTCTTGTGGCGTCTGGCGGTGCTGGGCCTGGAGGTTCTCCGGGTTCTTCGTCTCAGCGGGAGCTCCTCTCTCCACAGGAGGTGCGTGAGTGGTTTGCCCGGCGCTGGAGGCGTGCTGCTGGAGCTGGAGCTGCTGCTGGTGCTAGGGGTTCTACTGCTGCTGAGGGTGCTGGTGCCACGGGTCCCGGAGGTGCTCGTACTGGAGGTACTGGAGCTGCTGGGCCTGCTGGTGCTCCTTGTACTAGAGCCGGAGCTGCTGAGCCTTCTAGTGGTCCAACTGGAGCTGGAGCTACTGGGGGTGTTGGCGCTGGGGGTGCTGCATGCGCTGGTGCTTCTGAGAGTGCTGGAGGTGGCGCTGCTGGAGCTGGGGGTGCTACTGGCGCTGGTGCTGCCGTTGGGGGCTTTGGTGCTGTTCCTGCAGGTTCTGGGGGCACTGCACGGCCGCGGCTGTACTTCGTTCCGCTCCTTGAGCAGGTTCTTGGTCTTCTTCCTCTACTGGTCCTGCGCCTCTCTTAGAGTGTCCGCTGCCTGTCCAGTCCGAGTCACAGTTACAGCCGGCCTCCCCACTGCGTGCTCCGTCTCCCTACACTGGTCCTACTGGAGGTCTTGTTCAGCGTCGTGAGCCTTCGTCTTGTCCTGCGTCAACGGTCCATGCTGCTCGCCCTAGTGGTCGTGGTTTGCATCAACGTCCTCCCCCTGTCCCTGGCACGCACTGGATGTCTCTATATCAATCCACTGCTCCTCTGCGTGCCCCTTTGCCTTCTCCTCCTGAGTCCTCACTTCCTGCTCTTGCCGACCCGGAGTCGGACTCTCTTCGTGCTGCGAGTCCTACTGTCACGCGTCTTCTTGCTATTGTCGTCACTGACCCTTCTTTGAGTCTACTGCTGCGTCTGCCTTGGTTGCTGAGCTTGTCGACTTCGCTACTCGCTGTCGTCAAGACTACGCTGCTAGTGGTTGCTGAGTCTGAGTGTGTCTGTCCTCCGTCCGTCGGGGGTGAGTGTGCCTTGCGGCTGCTTCACCTCATCTCGTGTCCATGCTGCTTGCCCCTGAGGGAGACCCGGATGCACCAGACATCCCGACTCCGCGCTCTTACGCGGTGGAGATAGAGGGTCCCTACTCCTCTCAGTGGGAGGCAGCCATGGACACAGAGATGGCTTCCTGGAAGTCCACAGGCACCTACGTTGACGAGGTTCCCCCGCGTGGGGCGAACATCATCAGTGGCATGTGGATTTCAGGGTGAAGCGGCCGCCGGGTTCTCCGCCTGTCTTCAAGGCGCGTACGTGGCTCGTGGCTTCAGTCAGCGGCAGGGAGTTGACTACTTTCAGACCTTCTCTCCCAACCCGAAGATGACCACTCTTCGGGTACTGCTGCACATAGCCGCTCACCGTGACTACGAGCTGCACTCTCTTGACTTCAGCACTGCTTTCTTGCAAGGCAGCCTGCACGAGGGGATCTGGCTGTGTGTGCCCACTTGGTGTCACTGGGACTTTTCATCCTGGCCCCCAGTGGAGCCTCCGTTGGCCAGTCTACGGTCTCCGCCAGGCACCTCGTGAGTGGCACGACACACTGAGGACTACACTTGCGGCTCTTGGGTTTGCTCCCTCTACTGCTGACCCGTCGCTGTTTCTGCGCACCGACACTTCTTTGCCGCCGTTCTACATCCTCGTGTACGTCGACGACTTGGTCTTTGGCACAGCTGACACTGCTGGACTCGCCCCCGTGAAGTCGGAGCTGCAGAAGAGACACACGTGCACAGACCTGGGTGAACTGCGCAGCTACCTTGGCTTGCAGATCACCCGGGACAAAACACAGCGCACCATTACCCTGACTCAGTCACACATGGTGCAGCAGGTCCTTCAGCGCTTCAACTCACGTACTCCTCGCCTCAGGCCACTCCTCTGTCTACTCGCCACTCGCTCTTAGCTGCCTGTTCGAATGAGTCCGTAGAGTCGAGTGGCCCGTACCCAGAGCTTGTTGGCTGCCTCATGTACCTGATGACCTGCACACGTCCTGACCTTGCATACCCTCTTAGCATTCTGGCACGCTATGTTGCTCCTGGGAGACACAGACCGGAGCACATGGCTGCGGCGAAGAGGGTGTTGCGCTACTTGTGCAGTAAGTCGGGCATGGGGCTTGTGCTTGGAGGGCGGAGTCGAGTGGTCCTCAATCGTCACGCAGATGCTTCTTGGGCTGACGACCAGGCTACGAACAACGGTCGTCACAGGGTTACACCTTCAGCCTTGGTTCCGGCTGTGTTTCGTGGCGGGCTACCCGCTCGTCTTCTTTCTCGGCTCCATTTGTGAGGCTGATATCTATGCTGGGGCCATGGCTGCACATGAGCTTCGCTGGCTCACCTACCTGCTGACTGACTTGGGAGAGCCGCCTTGTTCTCCTCCAGTGCTGTACGTAGACAACAAGGCCATGCTGGCCATGTGTCGGGAGCAGAGACTGGAGCACAGAACGAAGCACATCGCTCTTCGCTACTTCCTTGCTCGTCAGCTGCAGCAGCATGGTCAGCTGCGCCTTGCTTATGTGGCCTCTCAGGCCAACACTGCTGATATCTTCACCAACGCACTTGCGCCTTGCGATCATCAGCGCTTTTGTACTCAGTTGGGTCTTGTGCCTACCTTGCCTCACTTGCTCACTTCTTGTACTGCTACATATATATATACCTGACTAGCAACAAGACCAGCAGCGTAGTCTAGACGACAGCGAGCAGCAAAGTCGACGAGCTCAATGACCAAGGCAGACGTAGCAGCGGACTCAAAGGAAGGGTCAGTGACAAAATTAGCAAGGAGACGCGTGATAGTAGGACTGGCACCACGAAGGGAGTCCGACTCCGGGTCAGCAAGAGCAGGAAGAGAGACTCAGGAGGAGAAGGCAAAGGGACACGCAGAGGAGCAGTGGACGGACGGAGAGACATCCGGTGCGTACCGGGACAGGGGGAGGACGCTGACGCGAACCACGACCACTAGTGCGAGCAGCACGGACAGGCGACGCAGGACGAGGCGCAGGCTCACGACGCTCAGCAAGACCGCTGGTAGGACCAGTGTAGGGAGAAGGAGCAGGCAGTGGGGAGGCCAGCTGTAACTTTGACTAGGACTGGACAGGCGGCGGACACTCTAAGGAAGGAGCAGGACCAGTAGAAGGGGGAGACCAAGAACCTACTCAAGGAGCGGAACGAAGTACTGCCGAGGCCGCGCAACAACTCCAGAAACAACAGGGACAGCACCACCACCCCCAGTGGTACCACCAGCGCTAGCAGCACCTCCAGCTCCAACACCCCCAGCAGCTCCACTAGCTCCAGGACCTCCAGTAGGACTAGCAGCACCCGCAACAGGACCATTGCTAGTAACGCCAGCAGTACCCTCAGCGCCAACACCCTAAGCCGCTCCAGCTCCAGTCGGACCACGAGAAGACGCAGTAGCTCCAGCTCCAGTAGTACCCGCAGGCCAAGCAACTCCAGTACTCCCAGTACGTGCACCTTCGGGACCCGTGGTACCAGCACCCTCAGCAACAGGAGAACCTCCAACTCCAGCAGCACGCCTCCAGCGCCGGGCAAACCACTCACGCACCTCCTGTGGAGAGAGGGGCTCCTGCCGAGACGATGTACCCGGAGAACCTCCAGGCCCAGTACCGCCAAACGCCACACGAGTAGGCCGAGCACCCTCAGGCTCCGCACCTCCAGGCGTAGCACCCCCAAGCTTAGCACCCCCTGTCGTAGCACCCCCAGTCTCAGCATCCCCAGAGTCAGCACCCCAAGTTTAGCACCCCCAGTCGTAGCACCCCCTGGCTCAGCACCCCAGGCGTAGCACCCCAGGCTGAGCACCCACAGAGTGAGCACCCCCAGGCTTAGCACCCCCAGCAGCACCAGAGTCAACAGCTACCTCAACAGGCTTGACTGCGTCTACCTGGGACACACCTGAGGGGGCAGGACCCTGAGGGGGAAGGGGGTCTACCGGGGGGGGACCTGGCACAAGGTAGAGCGGTGGCGGGGGGAGGGATGGAGTGCGGTAGGGGAAGAGACGGTAGTAGGGAACGGCTCGTCAAACGTGACGTCCTGGGAGGACAGAACACGGCGAGAGGTGGGGTGGTAGAACTGCCACCCTGGCGCGTCAGGGGGGAAGCCAAGGAAGACGTAGGGAGCAGCACGAGGGGATTGCTTGTCCGCAGACAAGTCGCGGACAAACGCCCGAGATCCCTAGACACGGAACGCAGACGCATCGCCAACCTTCCCCGTCCACAGCAAAGCTGGGGAAGTCTCCAACATGAAGACCCTGGGCTGAAGGTTGATCTGATGCACCGTGTACCGAACCGCAAACGGCCACAGAAAACGGGGGGCAGCCGCATGCATCATGGACGTACGGGCGACGTCCATGACCATGCCAATGTGGCGCTCAGCAATCCCATTTTGTTGCGGAGAGTCCGGAAGCGTGAAGGTCTGGCGGATGCCTCGTGCACGACAGTAGGCTCGCAGAAGGCCAGAGGAGAACTCTCCGCCTCTGTCGGAGTGCAGACGAAGAACAAGAAAGTCCGAGCCGAAGCTCAACCTGAGCTGGAGACGAGCTGCGCGGATCCAGACGATCAACACCTCAGTGACATCACGCTTGCTGCGCAAGGGGAAGAGTGTGGTGTAACGCGAGTAGTCGTCAACCACCAGCAGGAAGTAGCGCTCGTGGCCATGTCCACAGACGCGGGCTGGGCCCCACACGTCCATGTGAAGCGTTTTGCAGCGGGGCCTCTGTCGGAGGAAACTGGGAGGAGTGAGGAGCTACACGCTGCCGCCCCTCGACGCAGGTTGGGGCAGGCCCGGAGGAAGGGGAGGGAGGTACCGGGGGAGACCAGAGACCAAGACACGCGAGGCCATGCCTCGGAGACGAGGTAGGGCGGGGTGACCAAGGCGGTGGGTGCCAGAGGAGAGTCTCGTGCGACAGGAGATGACACGAGCAGGGGGCACACTCAGGACCAGACCTGGACGCTGCAGCAAACACCTGACCGGACGCAGCCACCTGACCATACGCAGTGACCGAGGAGACTCAATGGTCAGTGTGTACAGGCTCGACCCCGGCGGATGGGTAAACGTGGCCAAGTGTCGGCCCGTCGGAGCACACGTGCAGTGGGTCACTCGCTGGCGCGCAGGAGTGAACTGGTAAACCCCACATCCTGTAGGTCAAAACTACTCACCAAGTTCGTAGAGAACGAGGGGAGGTAAAGACTAGACAGGGTGCCAGAGGGGGCCGCCGGACACGGTAGGGCAGTGGAGAAGTGGGCAAGGACGGGACCCCCAGGGGGGTCTGCCAGAGAGATTGCAACTGGCCGACTAAGCGGCCTGAGTGTGGTGTGGTCTCGAAAGAAGGAGAGGGAAGCCCCCGAGTCCAGGGTGAAGGTGTGGGAGGCCGGAGCCGACGCGGTACCTGAGAGAGCAGACTCACCAGCACCTGAGGAAGTAGACTCACTGGCACCTAGAGCAGCAGCCTCACCAGCACCTAGAGCAGCAGCCTCACCAGCTCTTGGAGCAGCAGTCCCAATGCCCGGGTCAGGCGGAAAACACCGGTAACAGTCACCCTCATCACTAATAGTCACAGCATACATGGCAGCAAGGATAGCATAATCATAATCAAGATCAAAGATAGGAACCCCCGCCCTAGACACCTCGCCCCAGCGAGGGATCTCAGTGGCCTCAGGGAACTGGTGGCGCCAAGTGTCAGTCAGGCGGCCAAAGCAGCGCTGGGTGGAGTGCGGACCCCCGCACGGCTCACCCGCCGGTCGCCGGTGCGTAGGACGTAGGCGCACGGACCGGTACCCCACCCCGCTGACGTGCAGTGTACCACTCACGAAGCTGCTGAGGGGAAGTAATCTCACGAGTGCGCTGCTGCTACTGCTGCTGCTGCTGCTGGCGCTCACGACCACCGGAGCCGACCCTCTGCGCAGCGCCACCCTGACCAGCTCCACCTCCTCCGGCTACCTCCTCCACCGCCGCCACCTCCGCCACCTCCGCTCCCACCGCCACCGCCGCCGCCGCCTCCGCCTCCACTGCCGCCACTGACGCTCACCCCCGCCACCACCCCCACCGCCACCCCCACCCCCTCCACCGCCTCCACGCTGCCACCGCCCCGCTAGCTCCTCTAGCTCCCTTGCCCCCCTTGCCCTTGCTAGGGTGGCGTCTCCCGTGGGGTAGACGCCGCACTGACCGACTCAAAACCAACGAGGCCGGCCGCAGCAACAGAGGCAACAGAGGGCAAGAGGGGAGAGGGGGAGCACCCCTCAAAGACAGGGGCACGAGGGTCATCACGAGAGGCTCCTACATCGACTATGCTCTTCTCTGCCACTAGGAGGCGCTCCTCGAGGAGGTCAACGGTGAGGGTGGTGGGGCAAACAGAGAGAAAGTGGTCCTGACCGGGCGAAGGGTGTCGGGGAGCCGGGTGACTATGTAGTAGAGGGTCATGTACATAGGGGGGGGGTTCTTGGGGCAGAACTCAGCAGGAAGGGCAGCGCGGTAGTGAATGTCACAAGTGCGAAGGTGCGTAATGAGGTCAGCGACTGTGGGAAAAGCGGCTAGGTCAGGGAAGAGGTATGGCAGGATGAGGCGGCTAAGTCCAGCAGTGGCAGGGGGAAAAGTAGCGTGCAACTACAGCGTCATACAAGGTCTTGGCACTCTTGTACGTGTGCACGCTCAGCGATAGGCAAGTGGCGGCACACAGCAAGACGGGCAGCAGCGTCGCGTGTGGCCCACTGGGAGCGAACAGTGGCGTCAGCATCAGCAGCAGGGGCAGGAGAGGCACCAGAAGTGAGGTCAAAGAGGGAGAGACCGTCTCCCCTATTGCACTGTAGGAAAAGCTGCACGTCATCTACCCAGACGTCAAAGTCAATGGGCCGACCCTCAGCGTCAAAAGCGAGGACACTTGGGGTAGCCATGACAGCAGTAGACTATTAGTGCGAGCAGTAGGCTAAGAGCAGTGCAGTGGTAGAGGTGCCGCTCTTACCGGGCAGGCGAGAAGGAGCGAGATTCGCCGGCAGGAACAGGGCCGCAACTGTCAGATGATTATATATTGCTGATACATATATGTAGGCTGTAGTGGGGTAGCCATAGGGGTACAACCCAATTAGGGTGGTACTTGTACTCCTTTCATTCCATAGTGCATCATTCCTCGCCTTTATCTCAACATGGTATCGAGCAGGTTCCCTAGTGGGAACTGTTCCTAGGGCCCACCTACTATTCCGTCCTGCCGGAGCGCGCTCTGCCCTAGCCCGAGTCGTGCTCGGCCTTTTTTTTCCTTTGGCGGCCCGATCTCGTCGAGCCGCCCTCGATTTTTTGGCGCGCCACCTACGCGGCCTCGTCGCACGCGCCCCCGACCAGACGGCCGCGTCGCGTCGCGCGTGCCGCCCTCTAGTCGCGCGCCGCCCCCTCTGACCCTCGCGACGCCGGCGCCGTCTCTGACGGCCCCCGCGATCGCCTGCGACGGCCCCCCGCCGTCCCCTCTACCGGCCCCGCCGCTGCACCCGACGGCCCCGCCGTCCCCTCTGCCGGCCCCGCCACTGCACTTGACGGCCCTGCCGTCCCCTCTGCCGGCCCCGCCGCTGCACCCGACGGCCCCGCTGTCCCCTCTGCCGGCCCCGCCGCTGCTTCAGACGGCCCCGCCGCTGCTTCAGACGGCCCCGCCGCTGCACCTGACGGCCCCGCGTCCCCTCTGATGGCCCCGCCACTGCACCTACCGGGCCCGCCGCTACCCCTTGCGGCCCGCTGCTGCACCTGCCGACCCCGCCGCCTCATCTGCAGGCCCCGCCGTCTCACCTGCCGGCCCCGCTGCTGTACCTGACGGCCCCGCCGCTTCACCTACCGGCCCCGCACTGCCCCTGACGGCCCCGCCTACTACATCCGGCCCCGCCGCCCCAGCAGCTGAGCCGCCCCAGCAGCCGAGCCGCCCCAGCAGCCGAGCCGCCCAGCAGCCGAGCCGCCCCAGCAGCCGAGCCCCCAGCAGCTGAGCCCCCAGCAGCCGAGCCGCCCCTGCAGCCGAGCCGCCCCTGCAGCCGAGCCGCCCGAGCCGCCGAGCCGCCCGAGCCGCCCAGCAGCCGAGCCGCCGACCCGCCTGAGCCGCCCGAGCCGCCTGCACTGCCCTGTCTGGTGAGCACTGAGCTTTACTCTCCGCACTGCCCTCACCCTACTGCTGTCATGGCTACCCCCAGTGTCCTCACCTTTGACGCTGAGGGCAGAGTCATCGACTTTGACGTGTGGGTAGACGACTACTGCTTTTCCTACACTGCGACAGAGCTGACGGCCTCTTCTCTTTGATCTCACTTCTGGTGCCTCTCCCGCCCCTGCTGCTACTGAGGATGCCACTGTTCGCTCACAGTGGG